CATCTCAGTAAGAGGAATCGTATGATACCAAAATTACTCAATTCTAATCAGTGTATCACGAGATATCATCAAAAAATGTGAGTGCGTCACAATACCCACCTGCGTCATAATACCCCCCTCCCTTATAAGCAAAATTGCCTTCCCGACATTTTTAATTAACCTACCCGAGGTAGGTTTAGAATGCCGTTTTTTGTATTTTCAGGTTTTTTGTTTTTATTTCTTGTTTTGCTTCGCCAGCGATCATCAAAATTCTATAATTTGATTGGCCAGATATCACGTGATTCTGCTCCGCTTTAGACGACCCCCAAAAAGGAAATTTTTATATGTAGATCGCAAGATCAGGTGAAATCTTTGTGTAATGTGAAATCGAAGGCTTTTTCAAAACATCACCGGTAACTCAAAATTTTGCCTAAGAAAGCACATTTTACGCTCTAATAAAAAAAATTCCTGGCCTAATTTTACTATACGATTTTCTTTATACCAACCTTAACCCTAACGCTAATTTTCTATTGGACGTGATTTGTATCACTTGCAGAAATAAGTAAATCCCCATTGCGAGCGTCTATATTCAATATGTAATAATAATTAAAAATAATCAGTAACCACAAGAACTTCACTTATAAGCGAATATTTTTACGATTTATTGCTAGTACTAGTCACATTAACCATACGCCAGTTCTAAATGCTGGAAACGGTCAACAAAAAAAAAGAAGATTGAGACGTTATGTGTAAGATTTAAAAAAATTTCGCGTATACCATTTGACATGCTATTATAATAACAATGAGCTTGTACTAATGCACGTATTTTACATACGTAATCTGATTACAATAGGGTTAAAACGTTAGTAGCTTTGGGTTAAGTAGTAGGTCGATAATATGTATGAATATATGAGTATTATCGTTTCATTAATTATATGGCTAAAGGTCGTGTCGCATCTCTAATAAAGACCTTGATATTAAAGATAAGATTGAATTACTCTAATTACTTTTCAAAATATAACGATAATAAATGTAGTTTCGCTAATAATTTATTCGCATATTGAATTTTTTGATGAATTTGAGTTGGGTTTATCAACTTACTACATTCTATGCATATCTATCTATTTTTAAATATGTGACAAATTCTTTTTTACGTGTATTTATTAGTTTGTAGGCTTTTTTTATGTGTTCTTTTTGGTTCTATTAGTATTATAATGATCCAAATCAGGATTTTTAAAAATTATGCATTTTGATTGGTTAATTATCACGGGAAATCATATCCGCCGATTTGATTTTTAGGGGTCTTTTTTCGATAAACAGTTACATGAACTTTTGCCACTAAGTGACGTGAAGAATAACAAACGAAACATTCAATAAGAACAGTTTTTTAGCCTCTGTATGAGATAAATAAGCAACAAATATTAAAATACAGCTACACTAAAGCGTAAAAGAAAGCACTATCACTAGTTGTTGAAGCGTTCGGATATTTTCGGGTAGTGAACGATCGGTTTGTCATTGAGAACGATCGGTTGTAGAATGGGTAAGGGTGAATTCGGAAGCAATTTTTGAGACAAACGGCCTTTTTAACTTACTTTTAGCTAATAATTAAACATGTAGATATTGCAATATTCTATATACTTAATTATGAATTCAAAGTAATTTTAAAAGACCATGTTTGTAACAACTTACTTGGTAATTAATTCTAACGACAAATAATTCTCAATCATGATTGGCTAATTTTGGGGTCAAACCAAATCGGCCGATATGTCATGGATAGATCTACAAAAATTAACCAATCATATGAATGTCTCCCTATGAAGTTTAGTACCGGTTTTATTTTTCATATATTAAACCGGTTTGGGTCGGTTTTAACGTATAAAAATAAAACCGATTCCAAGCTCTAAATTAGACGCAAGTAATTCTTATATGTAAATGAAATAAATATCAGTTATTTTGAACTATGTTCATAAAAACTATTAAAATAAGTATTATTATCCTTGTTTTACAGCTATTTTCAAAAAGGTGTAACCAGATGCTAACCATTATATCGCGGGAAATCTGTACGATGTCCTTGATTTCCCTAATTTCCCTTTGATTTTCCTTATAAGAAAATCAGGGAAATCATGTGGTTTTCTCATGATATAGTGGTTTGCATTTGGTGAATCTTTTTGAAAACAGCTATAAACTAAAATATTGTAAAAAAAAAAAAAACAATTTGGCCATTTTTGAAAATTTTGAATCCACCGGGAAATTTTTAAATAGGGTGAATATCGATTACCAGCTACAGGGGCGATTGCCATTGATCAGAAAAATCGATAATAATCGATATTGGTTTCTAATCGATGTACAATCGATCGATTTTAATTTGTTTTGATGCTAATCGATTTTCAATCAAGCGACACTAATCAATATTAATCGATTTTAATAAGCATCAAGCGATTCTAATCTGTATCGCTGGCAATCGGCAGGGGTGCTGCTTATCGATTGACATTTCCATCTATCAATCGATTGCCAACCAATTTAAAAATTTCCTGATGTCGGTGGGTAATGCAAAACGAAAATTAATTTTGCGTAGTCTTAAATATCGCGTTGAGCTTTACTAAAAGGGAAACAATAAAGAAATAGTTCGGGCGGTATCCCTGGGATTTTTTACAACGCATAATAATTGAAATTTTGAAACAAAATGAGAAAAAAATATATATTCGAATATAATACTATATATAATTGAATTGATAATATTCCAACGTCTATATTCATGAATCAACATACTTAAGGGCTAAATTAACCGAACCGTTTTGCAAATTTCCTTATTTGGATGATTTACATAAATTAACCAATCAAATTGGATGATCTACATAAATTAACCAATCAAATCGTAATAGCTTTGCGAGACAAGGAAAAAACAAAAAAACTTTGAAAATATAAGAAACAAATGTTTTAAACCTCTCTTGGTGCACTAATAAAACACGTCGGAGAGCAATTTTACCTATAATCATTGTCCAATACCTGGTCTCTGAACAACCCTGACCTAATTTTAATTTCCATTCTTCCAAATAAGGAAATTTGAAAACGGTTCGGTAAAATTGGTCAAATGAACACATGACTATAAATTTTTAGTGCAAATATAATTTAAAAAAGAACGACATTTGGACTCAGAATTAGAATTTGTGTGATTAATTAATTTTAGGGACTACCAAGTAAAAAATCTCCGAAGGTCTTGGATCCAATGGACCATATATAACATTCTTAGAACCTACATTAAGAAATCCATGATACTGTTGACAGTTATTTGAACAATTTTTAACGAGCTGATTAACCAATATAGGGCTTTTGAAATTGTTTTTGTCCGGAAAGTCAGCGCAAAATATGTTTTTATCCAACTTTTTCCATTCGGAAATTTGATCAAAGTTTCCTTTATAAACAGTGCTATACAAATCAAGTTGATCAATATAAGGAATAAATATTAATTTAATATAAAGAAAATTTACTCACCTTGAAAATAATTTTATTCTATTCTTAAGGAAATTATTTGTATAATTTGTATTTCCATTATCGTCTGGATGAATAAATATGCATGCAGAGCGCTTATCTAGATCGAAATGTGTACCAATAATTAACTTTGAGTCAAATGGATTATGATTAGAATCTGACACTACTTGAGCCTGTGTAGATTGACTAGTTTCCTCAGTTTGAGATACATCATTATTTGGAGCAATTACACATGTACACAAGTAACCTGGGATTTTTTCGGCCACAAGACGGTCTCCTTCTTCTGAGACAGTATGTTCACTACTTCTGAGTATCATTTCAGTATTATCGAAATCAAAAGTTTCTGGATAACCCACTATAATCCATCCAATCTTAAGTTTAAGATCTTTTTTGCTGGCTATTTTTATAAGTCTGTTTTTCATGTTCTGTATACTTGTAATATGATGAGCAATAATTAATGGTGTGCCTTTATCTTCATATTCCACACGTATAGAAAATATGTCTCTGAATTCTTTATTCATTATTGAAGCAAAAATCTGACAATCATGAATATTAGTGATTTTTTTTGATTCTTTAAGTTTATTGAAATTTTCATCTAAACTGTGAACGAATGGTCCTTTTGTGTTAGGGAAGCGTTTTATTTCAACACCCGCTATTATTTAATATATAATATGTTAACAGATTGGATATAAAATATTCATTGGACTACAGTCAGTGGAATAAACCAGGGTTG